CTCCCATTATCGTATACAAATATTAGGAGAGTCATTTAGTGGGTTGGAAATTCAAAGGGAGATTAAAAAAAGAAAGATACCAAAAAGAGTACCAGCCGTAAACACATCACACGAGCGCATTCTCCGAGATTCTTAAAATTCCTCGGGGACTCGTGAACGGTAGCTACGTTTCCTCCGACAGAAATGATTTGCAAACAACCGAGGAACTGAAACACTGGAGGCTAAACACTGGACGCTAAACTGGAGGCTAAACGTCTGATCTACCTTTTACTCATGATATGATTCTTCTAGGTGGTTCAGAAGTCCATCCAGGAGAATAAAAAGATCTAGGGATCTGGTTCTAAGAGTACTTAATTCGAATGTGGGTGGAAAGAGGTGGTCTATTGCGATCTGATTTTCGCGGAAGCTCCCGCGAAGCGACGAAGATGTGACATATCATTCTGGACGACGAACGTTGTAACGTTGTAAGAGAGAAAAGAAAAAAAGAAAAATGATACGCGCAGCAATCGTGGTCCTCGCTCTGATCTCCATCAGTGTATCCGCCTACGAGCATACCGCCGCGGATCAGTGCGACTGGTCCGGAAGGTTTGTATTTTTCACCGTAACGCACAGTCTCTTTCTCTCTCTCCGCGTTTCACGAACTTTCACGTCAGTGCCGTAACAAGCGTGCAGCTGATGTGACTTTAAAAGTCGCCGGCTGTGTAGTCGGACATAAATCGCTCCGCTTCAATTTTTTAACACTGATCATTTGCTCCGATGTTTGCTCCAAAATTTCCTAAACTGATAATCGCGAATCCAGTGTATTTTAAATAAATGTATCTTTGTTTGAAGTCAACGTGATTGAACGTGGATTTTTTTTCATTTTGTAGGTTCGAGGAATTCGAGGAATAATATTATGTAACTGAAATTGTGTAAAGTTATGAAAAACAATTGTTATAATATTATTGAAAAAAAGCCAAGGTTTATTGGTCTTGTGGATACCAATAGGATAATACTTTTTATTAATAATATAAAATAATATGAGAGAGAGAGAGAGAGATTTATGTTCAATATAGTTTTAACAAAAATAATTTTAACATTTTCAATTAAACATATGGCAGAGTATTAATATGAGTCATTCTTTCCTTTCTCTGTAATTTCAACGAATGGCATTATTGTTTCTTCCTATTTCTCATTGTGATACATTTGTAAAAATAGATGTATTAATCGAAATGTAAATACTTTGTATAGCGGAGGAGAAAGCGGTGGTGTCCGACCGGTGTACCTGCGCTGTGCTCGGGGAACGGTACTCTGGCGCTATCCTCATGACGCTTTGAGAGTGGTCCTTTCCTCCCCGGTCTCATTCTTGGAGAACAATTCTCTCAGCTATCTAGGTTTCCGTGCCTGCGTCAAGATCTCTGGGCCTGTGCGGGTCTTTCTGGAAGCCGGCGGCAAACTGAGGCAACTCTATTCTCCGTCCGATGGCAAGCACGAACTTACACACCGGTGCTTCCGCTCGTGGAAGCATACAGCCGCACTTTACATGGAAGCTGAGGATGATTATTCCTTCAAAAACACCAAGGTCAAGCTGCAATACGATCTGGAGCCAAATTCTGTGAAGGGGGGAACACTTCGCGTGCCGGACGAAGAGGAGGACTGCAGACCTTGCTCCATGGAGGAACTCGCCAAGGCTTATTGTCAAAGCGACCTGGTTGCTAAAGGCACCGTCACTGACGTCCAACAGAATCCTAAGATGGATACAGCTGAACTGATACTTAGGGTCACCAAGATTTTGCGCTACGTAGCCCAGGAAGCTGAGGTAAAACTTGATAAGATAACATATAATAACTTTGATTTTTCTGTCAAGCATAATGCATGTGTAAGCCAATTACAAAATACAACAAATTATTACAGGGCAATGAAATTGATGCGTCTTTTAAGAAGAGCGTGCGTGTGCGAATACCAATGGTATGTGACGCGCGGCACGGCCTCGGTGAATTTGTGATAATGGCCAAACGACGTCTCGGAGATCTCACCTTGGTATGCGCGCCTCGACTGGAGGCGTGGATGCAAATTGTACATGAAATGGACAATGCGCCCTGCGTCCTTCATAGTTAGCTAATGAGATTTAAGATGATTTTTTTTGGAAAGCCATAAAGAAGTGTACACGATACACAATAGATAAGAATACTGTATCGTGTACATTTGTGAAATTGGAAATCAACGCAATCATTAATAGAGTAATACCGTATAAAAAACTATCCGTCTAGCCGTTTGTACAAGGACATCGTGTATATAGGGAATATCATTCTTTGTGTACATACTGCATACTGTCAGATTGTCGATCTCCAAACTGTGATATTATTTGTTGTATTAAGAAGAACACGGAAGAACGTGCGCGAAGAAACAGAAAGCACATTTGCCTTAATACTTGTTCTAGAAATTAGAAAAATCATTATGTATAGAATATATTTTCTTATCCTATTTCACATAATTTTCTTGTTTTATATAGATACTAAACTACTTCGTTGAAATCAAATATACTTGAGATTATGCAAAGGTTTTGTTATTGTGTTCCTCTTGAAGCTTGAATCATTTCAATTCTTCTGTATTTTTATTACGAATGTCTTAGTCTTTGAAATTAATATAGGAGCAACATTTTGTTAGAATCTATTGCCAAGAGAAAGTGTGCAGTGATTAAAAATACTAGGTATATTGCAATTTTATTGGGCGAGTACATAGACTCGCTGCAGAGTTGAGCATATTTTGTTTATATTCATACAATATTATATAACAATTTTGTATAGATTTACTAAAAGTATTTTATATAAATTCCAAACGGAATAGCTGTTCTTATCCAAACATATGTGCGACAATAATAAAGAAGATATTTAGAAAAAATTATGCATTTCTGTCTATATTCTATACCTCTAATAGATAAATGTGTGCATAATAAAAACAATTGTCTATAACTTGTATCGATTGATAGATAAAGAGAGTCATATAATTTATAATATTTATACAACAATTGAGCGTTCATATATTCACACGATACTCTCGAAATATACCTTATAAGAAATATATTCTTAATTTATTTAGGAAAAAATTTCTAGAAGAGAAAAAGAGAAAGAGAGGGAAACAGTTGGTAATGTACAATAATTTATTTCTGCAAAAACTGTGTTAATATACCTCTGTGATTTAATTCTGGAACCATGCGAGATCGATTACGGTACGAGTCTCAAACAGAACGTCATTTGAAAAACTTTTACAAAATATATATTTGCTTTATTGCAATTAGTTTTATATTTAAACATATAAGAATTGGCCTTTTTGATATAATTTGTCATATATTTTGATATAAAAAGATTTCCATGTATTTAAAAATATCAGTGGTACTCTACCGTAACGAAATCACATCGTGGCTACAGAATTTAATCTATATATAATCTCCCTGAGACACGCAAATACACAAACGCGTACGTATATATTTGTATAGTATCAAACAAAATAACACAGCTCACAGGTCAAGCTGGCTAGTAGATACAAACTGTACTCGATTATATATTAATGAACATTTTGCTTTCTCTTTGTTAGTGTCGTTGAACGAATAGAGTAATTCATTCAGCCGATCAATCAGAGACAGAGGAGAGTAAATCTTTCTGCTACATTCGTTGAAAAGCCATTGACTATAAGTTTCTTGATTCACAACGGACTACGGAGAAATGAAATTTACATATTTATTTGTAAACCGAGCGCACAATTAATACTTGTATTTTTAAAATCTGTGCGAACATCATTCTACTATTTTTGATAAACGTAATTGATACGTTATATCATAGTTTTTTTTCTTATTTCATTTTGCCGATTGCAACATCATCTAGTTTACAAACCTAACTATTAAATGATAATAAATCTAATTACGATGACGCAAAAATTGTCTCACGCTTTTTAACTTGTTTCACATATATATTTTTATTTTGATAATTTTGCCCTATTTTTATTTGCTCAAATTCACTGATTATTTAATTTTAGTGTAACTTAATTATTTTATAATTTTAATATTAATTTAACAAAATATTTCGCATCAGCTGCCTATTAAATGACATTCAACGATCACATTGACGCATATCCTTCTTTCCTCTTTTTGGCGCAGCATCAGTTTCATTCGATTTAAACATGTTTACAACTATATGACTAAACAAAATAAACAGCGAAATTTACGCTTAACATTAATTACTTGTCTCCCTGTACACCTCTTTCGCTCACTAGATTTTTTTTACATATTCTAATAAAAATAATGCTCACTCATACTATAAATTTCATCTCTCTTGCCTCCTTTTTCCTTGAATTTTATTAATGCAAAATAATATATGTAAGAATGTATAAGAATATATCACAATAATTCCTCCCACTTCCTTTTAGATGCTAAATATGGCTAATAAATGGTTCTTTGCGATAAATAACATAATGATAATATTAAAAAATCGTGTAAAAACAGTTTAAACTACATTGTTATCTAAACGTCTTCCTTTTTTTTCACAGGTTTCTAATTTAGATAAATCACGTTATATTGAAAAAAAATATGACATTTTTCGTATTTAATATGCGACAGTGTTAAATACTTTCACAAAATATACACATAAAAAGAACGAAAAGATGTAAAAGTTGTAAAAGGAGACTGTTTTTTGGCCGGCGCAAGATTCGTTTACGTTGTGGTATAGGGATAATTTGGGCAGAGTGGCAGGACCAGATCGTCCATATTTGGTAGAACGACTAGCTTCTCGAACTCCCTGAGCAACTTATTCTCGATCCATTTACTTACATATACAATGTTGACAGTCCTTTCGCCGAGAGTTGGTTGCACAGTGAGAGCGATCTTCGGCACTGATTTGAAACCATACCAGAGCCGGTCAGAAGGCGGTGGAGGGATATTTAATAAAAGACAACCCTCGATACCGGATACGTTAACCATAAAACGGATCTCCGTGTTGGAAACACCCTCCATTGCCCTCCGTACGTATGACAATTCTGTAGCCTGTGATAAAGAAGATATACTAGTTTAATTAGTGAGCCTATAACTTGTTTTCGCAATTATTAATGATAACAGATCAATATTAGGCTATCTGAACACAATTAAGTGTTACTTACGTGTCGAAAATATTTGTTGGCTGTCAGTTTGTCGACCATATTAAGAAACTTCTTACCAGAAGACTGTACTGGTCTATAATATAAGAAGATCTATGAATTCATCTACAACTTCATCATAATACTTTTATATTTTCTTTTAATTTGTGAGATGAACAACAAATTTATATTTTGAATAGAGGATATATATGTTGTGTCAATTGTATACATTTTTAATATAAAAGAGAGGCATGTGTTTATATATTAAATATCAATCTATTAAATATCATCTAAAGAGACAAAAGGCAAGATCGATACGATGAAAAACCATTATTTAAATTAGGGAATCACTTACGTGGTTTCTTTAGATGCGACGCTCGACGCGATGTTTCCTATATCTTCATCTTCGGTGGATGTCTCTGGACTATCTTCTACATCGCTATCGAATATTGGTGATCTAGTAGGAATAGACTTCTCATCAACAATATCACTGGGAACGCTACTCGCACGTGTTAGCTTCATTAGATTCAACTTTGTCTCTACGGTCATCGTTACGCTGCCTTTATAAGTAATGTTTAAATCGAACCAGAGACCCCGCTCGTCAAGTGCGGGCTTAGAGACTTTATGAATTATCGGAGCATCATGTCCGATTACTACTTCTGTTACGAGGAGACTCTCCATGAAGTATGGAAGTTTTATGTTAGAGAGTTTACGTTGTATTCTATCTTGAATAAGATTAATCGCTTCTGGACAACTATGCATATCGAACAATATCCGTCCTAAAAGACAATTTGTCCAAAGGACGTCGCTCTCCCTTGGAGAACCCTCAGGATCCACCTGAAAGGTAATCGCTTGATTAGAATTATAAGGATTGTAAAATTAACTTGATCATCACATTGCTTACATTCAGGTACTTGTTCATATAGGTACTGTAAGTGACTTCGGGAGACGCCTCTAGTGACTTTGTTTCTGCCACATCCAATTGTGCAGAGATTGTATTCACGCAGGATACAGAATCATTTATGGAACAAATTGAATGTCGTTTTTTCGAAAGAGATGCCGCTGATATCAATCTACGAAACCTGAAAAATCCTTCACTAAGACATGCTAATAAAGCAAGCAAAGTTCTTAAGTTATACTTTGGTAATTAGAAAGTTTAATTATAATCTTTATTATATTTAAATTGATTTGACAGAAGCATTTTTAGAAGAGATGTTACCAGTCTTCCTTCTCTCGGTCGGCGCGTGCAAACAAATAAAGTTTGCACTTGGTAATCTCTTCGTTGTCGCGGCAATCTTCGTAAATACTCCTGATGGATTTAGATTGTGAAAAATCATCGTCATCTTCATCATCGTCGATCTTAAACTCATCCTCTTCATTATCCTTAAAATATTCCAATCTGGAATCTTCATCCTCACTTTTTGTTTCTTCGCCGAAGGTACTTTCATCGATTTCCTGATTGACTCCATCTACTTGGATAATTTTCTTTTCGTCCTCGAGGGTTTCCTTTCCGAGATCTGTCCAGTCATTCAGACTCGTGCTATCTATCAGTGCTCCTTGGTCCATCGTAATACAAATTGGATATTTCTTGCTCCATCTCCTGTGCATAAAAAATATGTTTATTTGTGTATACTATAAAAATATGAAATAAAATTATGCATGACGTGGTCATACCTCCTCCGAGTGAGTCCATCTGGTAGCAACTCTATTTTTGCACCATTAAGATTGTACTCGCGTTTTCTGGTGAACTTATATTTTCGTTTTTGCTCATCCCACACTGCTCTCTTTGGTACTTTCATTCTAGTTTCCATAACACGCAGCACTCCACCTTCTAGACTGAAGAAAACCGACTTTGTACGTGCTACATGATAATTGTGAGGATCGTACGTATATGGCAACTCATTTAACCATCCTTCATATCTTTCTTGGACCGCATGCTCCTCTGCTGCCGGTATTTCCAGTACTGGAACTACTACATGTGCAGGTTTTTTATCTAACGGTGTCTCTAAAATTTCCTTAATCCTCTGCATCAGCTTGTACATCACTATTGTGACGAAGACTCCTACAAAAAAGCCAATCAAGAGGGCAGGCAATGGAATGAGATAGCAGAAAGCAAGCACAAGAACCAGCAGCTCAGCTAACTGTTTTGTCAACTGTTGAAAGACATAATCTTTTATACGGGAGAGGAACGTGCTAAATTTCACTTCTTTCGTTTGTATGTATCCATCTGACTGATTAAAAAAGCTGTGACGGCATGTGGCATTGTTTTCCTTGTCCTCGGCGCGAAAATCATCTTGTGATTCGAAAGGAAGTGGCTCAGGAACAAGGTCGGAGAACTCAGCGGCTTCCACACCACTTTCTACACTGTCGTCTTGAGAGTTTTTCGTTTTCAGGCCAGTTCTTACCTGCGAGAAGCCTACAAATCTTGAAGCGTTACTCTTATTACGAGCAAGATCCTTTTCTTGCTTATCGTTGATGTTCTCATCGGTCGGCGTGATATCTCCCAGAGTCTCCTCCGAGTCGCTGACACTGGAATTATCCTTATTACGTTTCCTCTTCTTCCTGTCACTTTTCATCTCAGAGATCTTCTCTTCAAAAGTTTTCGTGATCTTTCCCCTAATTTCGGACAGTACTTTCCATGGATCTGAAGGTGGTGAGGTACCTTCAAGCGCGTTATCCTCAATGGAACGTCTCTCTGCGTCATTTTCCAATCCTTGGCCATTCACGCTGCTCTTGGAGGGGCTCGACGGTATCCTCTTGTCGGACTCCGGCGTAAGATGCTTCTCGTCATCAGAAGAGCTCGGGTAGAGCTCTTCCAATTCGTCATCATTGGCTCGGTAGTGGATCACTGGCACTGATGTGGTGATCGGTTTGCCTGCAGTAGAAAAAATACAAGAGTTAGTCGAGCACACGAGGCACAAGGTATAGATTATTCCACGGATATTTTCACACTTGTATATTTTATACACTTGCACATTGTCAAGAAATGTAAATATCAAGAACATATGAGCTTTTTCAACCTTCTCCTACCTTTTATCATTCCCAGGGTGATCTTTCCTGGACTGTATTTGCTACCCATTGTTACTCGCCTCGAGCAACAGTGACCGTCGTATCAGGAACTTATCAATATTAACATTGATGATCTAGAGAGATAATAGAATCTTGATCGTTTCACAAAACGATTGTCCGAAGCAGCGATGTCATGCTAAACGATTAAGTTTGCGTCACGATGCATCGGGCACTGCTGTTTTTACAACAATTAATAATAATAACACTAATTAACGCTTCAACACTTGACATCTGACATCTTCCAAGGACTCAACAACGCTCGCGCGCTTCGCGCTGCAGCTTCAAAACCAATACGCAACTACGGGTCTGTTCTACACTGTACACAAAAAGATCAGTGCATCAGTACAATGCAGTGGGTGCGTTCAGCAGAACGTTTGTTTTGCAACTGTTGGAAGTTTTCTTCGCGCTAATTGGATCATACTTTTAGATCTAGAAGAATGGTCCTATCTCAGCAGACAATGGCTGCGTTCAGCAGAACGTTTGTTTTGCAACTGTTGGAAGTTTCCTTCGCGCTAATTGGATCATACTTTTAGATCTAGAAGAATGGTCCTATCTCAGCAGACAATCATAAAACGGTTGCAAAACTGTTGAGTCTGCTGAACGCAACCAAGGAACAAACGTAATGTGGGGTCTACAATAGAAGTCGTAGCAATCGTAGGATCTTAAGTCGTAGAAAATTGACCAATCACAGTCGAATATGAGAAGAATAATCAACTGTGATTGGTCAATTTTCTACGACTTAAGACCCTACGACCGCTACGACTTCTATTGTAGACCCCGCATGAGAATCAAACAAGAGCTATGCGGACTCGCTTTAATTCGCTTATCATGAATATTTCATAATTTACGCTATAAATATAATCTGATCATCTCGAGGGATTGTATCGGCACGATCCGAGTTTTTTCTACACTGCCAAGATCCAGGTATCTTCAACTGTTTTCGCAGCGATTCATAACTGCAGGTGAGTGTTGGTGAGTGCCGCGCTGGAGCACAGTGAACTCCAGTCTATGAATGTTAAATGCGAAGTGCTGCTTGCATTCATAGCCTTCACCTGCCTTCACAGTTGCCTCTTGCTCGTTTTTGATGTATGTTGTGTCCCCAGGTGACGACAAATCTGATTTATATTAATTTCAGAATAGTACGGACGGATTCATTCATGAATAGCATAGGCGAGGCATGCAACGATCTGAAGCGACAATACGACGTCTGCTTTCACACGTGGTTCTCCGAGAAATTTTTGAAAGGTGATACGAGTGACAGCACATGCTCGCATTTATTCAAAATGTATCAGCAGTGTGTCAAGGTAATTAAAGCAGGATTGTATCTTTAGGAAATCTGCACGTGTATAACGCATGAAAGGAGGAGAGAGAGCGAGGGGGTAATAAGAGCGAAGGTGCAACATGGAGGATTGCAGTGAGTTGAAACAGAAATACGATGCCTGTTTCAACAGTTGGTTCTCTGAAAAGTTTTTAAAAGGGGATACCAATGATTCAATGTGCGCTCCTTTGCTTAAAGTCTATAAAGATTGCGTAGCGGTAAGTTTTAAGAAGCTCTCCCTTCTCATAAGCCAGATTACAATTATTCCAAGAAATATTTTTTTTTAATTTTTTAACAAAAAGCTAATGACATCAATAACTCTGCGTTCTCGTGTTTTAGAAAGCCATGAAGGAGCATCATATTGAATTAAAAGAGATGGAGACAAATTATTTGGAAACCGAGAAAGAGAAAAAGCCGTACAGTTGACGAAAAGACGTTTGCACATTCATATATATATATATATTTCGGTCCTACATAGATTTCTTACGGGTCATTGGCAATGCAAACAGTGCAACTTTGTCATTCCTATTTTTTTTATTACGAAATAATTATTAACAAAGGTTAATTGATCTTATCTTAATCAATAGTTTATGTTATTAACTAATCACTGTAATGCTGCCGAATATTCTACACACTTGTAACATTAACATTGAAATGTTATACTAAGAGAGAAACTATGTATGTACATATTTATATCTGTGTACTGTGTAATAATGTATATATATGTATGTCATGCTTAACAGCAAATTTAATTAGTTGCACAATTTTAGCAACTTTTGTAATTTCGATTTTTTTTTAAAGAATCAAATTTTATAGAGACAAAACTAAACAGAAGAATAACATCAATTGTTGTAAATTAAATAGTCACTGTGCAACATGGAAATAAATAATTTATAAATGAAGCTAATAAATAAAAATTTTTCCTTTATATTTTTTTTTCATTCAGAGAAAAAAAAAGGTATATTTACGCAAAGAAAAAAAGCAAAATAAATGTATTTAACGACGGCAATAAATCGTTATGTGTTTTCGTATCATTTAAGTCTTAATATTATTAATACTTTGTAATATTAAAAAGTTACATATATCATTTTAAAATATATTTATAATATTAGAAAGAGTTGTATAACTAATATTAATCCACTTGAATGCTCATCTCCTAGTGATTGTAAATATAATAATTTTAATAGTGGGAAGATGTACACATTCATTTCGATAACTGGTACGTGTAAACTAATGACAAAAATATCTGTTTGAGTTCTGTAGCATTTATTAATCACTTTTAGAATCATCTTCAGACGAAGATGGAGTACTCTCTATAGGTTCCTCCTCATCGCTTTCATCCGACTGATCTTGTTTCGTCTTTTTCGTTGGTTTTTTTCCAGTATCTTCCATTGGCCTCTTCTCAACTTTTTTCTTCTTGTTTTTCTCCTCCTCGCTTTCATTATCAGAGTTTTCCTTTACAGATTTCTTACTCTCATCGCTGCTACTATCGTCATCACTAATATACTCTTTGCTCTTAAAACCGGAACCAGACATTTGCTTACTGGGCGAGTCTTTTTTCGTTTCCTTCTTTTTCTCTGTCTTCTTTTCTTTAATTTTTTCTTTACTGCCTCCGCCTCCGCCTCCACCTCCGCTCGCTTGATAATCTTTCATCGACGCCGTATAATCTTTTTTAGCCTTGGCTGCCTTCGCTTCCCATTCAGACTTGTCTTTGAGCTCTCGCCACATCTCACCTCCCTTTTTCGCGATTTCCGTTATAGACAGTCCTGGATTGTCCGCCTTGATACTATCGCGTGCACTATTCAGCCACAACATGAACGCTGATGGAGGTCTCTTTGGCTTGTTCGCGTCTCTCTCTTTCTTCGATTTCCTCTGTTTTCGCGGCTTCTCCGATATAGTTTTTGCTGATTTAGATTTCTTTTCTTTCTTGTCTTTCTTCTCCTTTTTATGACTAGCCGAAGAGGCATCTGAATCCTCACTCTCAGAGCTATTGGGATTGCTGTCGTATTCCTCGGCGACATCGCTTACATCTTGATTCGGATTGAAGTCCTCATCGGTCGAGCCTTCCTCGGAGTCATCTTGATTCGCCTCACCATCGCGTTCCTGCGCCTCTGCCTTGACTCGTGCCAAGTAAGCGTCCGGTTCGTCCTCTTGATCGCTGTCACCAAAGTCTTGGTCGTATTTGGGCTTGTCACTCTTTCAAATTTACCATATTCTTCTTTTTCAATGCTACTAAACGTGTGTACCACACCGCTCGTAAGCTCGATCTCAAAGTCAAAAGACCTAGTCGATCCGCCGCCGCGCGCAAAGTTCAATGAAGCTATCTCTTCGAAACGAATATGTATTGGAGGTTTGTGTACATAAATAAAACCTCGCTCGAGTGGATATAGATATCCTGCCGCAGCTTTAAAAGAACAGCTAATAGCAGGTGTCCCGGTATGACCAGTGAAATGTCCGGGACCAGTTAACTTTCGATTGATAATTACCTTCATCACCTATAAACATATAATTTTGTATTAAAATAAAAATACGGAAACTAGAAAGCTTTTCTTTTACTTACCTTGCCCAGTACTTCGAATGTAGGTCCTGATAATTCTTTAGTCAGTTTACCTTCGTACTTTTCCTTTAATTCCTTTTCGGTAAATGGTAACTCGATAGAAGTCTCTTCTTCCTGATTGAACAGGAGTACTAGATAATGATATCGTGTTTGGCCTTGTTTTATAGGAGGATCCAAGCTCACGACAAAGAACATTTGACGATTATCCTTGTGCGGAAGTAAGAAGAGTCTCAATACAGTGGACATAGGTATTTTGTAGTCGAAAGTTTTGCCGTGCAGTTGAAAGAAGGTCTGGAAGATCTTAATGTCATAACGACCACGTGGCGTTAAACAGTGAATTTCTCTGAATATGGCAATTGCGTCGCCGCTTACACTGATCACTGATGCTTTATCCATCACCTGTTGTAATTGAAAAATGAATTACTGTTCTGTTTTTATGTCTACAAATATATTCGCGCGTGTATTCATCGTCTAAATCTTTTCTCACCTGTTGATGGAATGCCTCAACGGGATCTTGATCAACACTGTCACTAATGGGAATGTGAAATCTCATTTCCATCAGGCTGACCGGAGCGTCATCATTTTGATGAAATTCCAATGTTACCTCATTCTTTCCTGTATTACACTGTGATACATCATACAGAGGTATCTCGAAAGCAGTATGATGACCAACATCAAAGCTCAAGACAGATCCGTTAAACCTTGCAGTACCCCAATTCCAGCCTTTTAAACTCAATTCCTTTTCTAACATATCTTTCTTGTAATTAGCAGAAAAGAACTTGGCGATCTTTTCCTGTTCAGATTCTTTGAAGCCTTTGAAGCGATGCAAAGTACCATTTTTTAGAAAGATACGGAGACCCCAGGTTCCAATGAATTTTTGGTAATTTACCATCTCCATATCAGAAGCTGAGATCTGTTCAACTTTCCCAGTCTTCTGATTCTTGAAGATCAAGTGCTGATCAGTCAACTTCAACCTACCTGGCGTCTGTAAAACAATTATTATTATTAATGAGATGATAATAAATATATATTGTTTAAATCAATTAAGAAAAATAATTCTATATTCAGTTAAAGCAGATCTAGGTACTTAATAATATTCATATGTAATTTTTTGCAAATACATTTTAACTGAAATATTAATATCTTGAATTAGATTAATTGTCAATTTAATAATGATGCTAATAAAACATTTTAAAAACCTACAAAAGATTATTAATATTTTAGCTTAAGTTTGTTTCAATTCTGACAAACCAAATTAATATACAATTTATAAAATTGGAAACTGCAAAATGTATATATTTGCAAAATGTATATACATATATGAATATTATTAAGCATCAAGATTCGTTTTGACTGAAGATTTTAATTTGACCAAATTAGGATTGTTCCTTTTAATTATTTTACTTTTATCGATCTAATTTCTATTCATAAATGTATGTATTGTTAATTTTCCTCCTTAATTAGCTCGACTTGACTATTTTTTTCCTTATAAAAAAAATGTAAAATCAATCATTTGTGTCTTTAGTAAAGCTAAAATCGGAACTGATTAAATATTGTCAAATTTCATGTAATAAGAAAACAGGTCGTCGTTACATTGAGCTCAGAACGGATAAAAAAGATGTTCAGCCATGTTTAGCTCATGACAAGAATCAATTACGCGATATTGTTTAACTGTTTTGAAAGCGATGAGCTCTTACCATTGCGCCCTTAACCTCGGCGAAGATGTCCGGATACTCGAGAAAATCCATCCTGAATAATTATCCAAGATTCTTATTCGATTAGTTTAACAAGAATATTGTTCCAGAAGATTGCGTAAACAACTCTCCGAACGACAAGTATGTAAAAATAAATAGGACATGTGTTATTATCGACGAAATTACAATACACAAAACGCGGCAAAAGGTAAAGGCGGTAAATTTTACAAGAAAAATGGCGGATGGAGCAGCACACAAAACCAGTGGCTGCGTTCAGCAGAACGTTTATTTTGCAATTATTGGAAGTTTCCTTCGCGCTGATTGGATCATACTTTTAGATCTAGAAGAATGGTCCTATCTCAGCAGACAATCATAAAACGGTTGCAAAACTGTTGAGTCTGCTGAACGCAGCCAGTGGGTGCATTCAGTACTACGACCGCTCACTGGCTACGATTACACCGTGCATTTAGGCCGCGACCTATACAATAGACATCCTTGTTTATCCTGTATATTAAACAAAGACACCTATCGTATAGGTCGCGGACTAAGCGCACGGTGTAAACGTAGCCATTGAGCGCTCAGTGAGCGCTTGCATCTTATTGGCATATTCCGTTAGAACTAAAAATATAGATCAAACAGATACAAGAGCTCACTGAGCGCTCAGGGAGCGGTCGTGATACTGGCTGCGTTCAGCAGACTCAACAGTTTTGCAACCGTTTTATGATTGTCTGCTGAGATAGGACCATTCTTCTAGATCTAAAAGTATGATCCAGTTAGCGCGAAGGAAACTTCCAACAATTGCAAAACAAACGTTTTGCTGAACGCACCCATTGAATGCACCCAGTGTTGTCAGGCGAGCCCCCTTTTTAGCACATCCGCACTACAGTACTAGTGAGTACTAGAGAAATCCAGTAACGTCGTAAGTCCGGATCTACAATAGATGTTTTAAGACTAATGCGGGGTCTACAATAGAAGTCGTAATAGTCGTAGAATCTTAAGTCGTAGAAAATTAACCAATCACAGTCGAATATGAGAAGAATAATCAACTGTGATTGGCAATTTTCTACAACTTAAGACTACGACCGCTACGACTTCTATTGTAGACCCCGCATTAAGAAACTGACCAATTACAGTCGAATCCGAGGGGAATAATCGATTGTGATTCGTCCATTTCTTATGACTTAAGGCTTAAAACTCTATTGTAGATCCGGGATAAAAGATGAAAAGCGCGGGCCAAACCATGGTGGAAATACGTAATGCTGGATTCATACTACATCCGATTTTCGTAGTACGATTCTCTGCAACCAATCAGAAAACAGGATTCCGATGAATTTTGCTCTTCGTATTATGGAAATCCTGTTTTCTGATTGGATGCAGAGCGTCGTACGACGAAAATCGGATGCAGTATGAATCCAGCAAAGGTGAACTATTGGCGCATAATGGCGGTAGCAATTACTGAAAATAACCAATCAAATGTGTTCCAACATGTACTTTCTGATGTATAATAGCGCTGGTTATACTGGAATAGCCAATCAAATGTCCAAATTCATTCTCCTACTGCGCATCTACGGGAATAGCTCACCTTACGTATTTTCACCATGGGCCAAACTATATATCTTGTTTACGATTACGCGCAAGAATCGAAAAAAATATATTCATACTTAAAAAGATCATCGTTCATTTCGTGGAAACAAAAGACCGAGGAGCACTATGTAGGCTATGAGTAATATATAGAAGATTTTTTTTACCATAGTGCATTTTTTTTTATATAATTATTCTGAAATCCTATTCTTTATTTCAATACTATA